GCCATTTTGTCTATCTGTTAATTAAAAAAGAGTGGCCGTGAGTTTGTTTGCTCTTTCTTCTCATAAGGCTGTAAACGGGCGGTTGTAGATCGGCACAGGCATGTAATAGATTTTCGATAGGTATAATTTTGTTATATTTTTTTTGCTAAATATTTGACAAAACAGAAATTGTTGCTATTGTGTGTGTTGATCTATGACTTTAGAGTCTACATAAAACACGATTTCAAACAATTGTATTTTTTATGAAATAAGGATATTCTGAGTTTGAGTCTGATACCGAAATGCAGCCTTCTCTTTTTATCTAAAATCAATCTAGATGTGGGTAGTAAGGAATCAAAGGTCTTTTTATGGGGCGGGTAATAATTTATTATGTAATATAATAATACAGTTATATTCAATAGAATTAAAAAAGTTAAAAAAAGTTTTATAAATTGATCAAAAATGTTCTGGGTCTTACGTGAAGCTGAAAGAACAAACAAAAAGACACAAAGATACACAAATCATTTCATAAAATGCTTTATTTATCTGTACTAAGATACCAAAAAACGGCTTACTCATCTGTACTAAGATAGATAACGGCTTACTCATCTGTACTTAGATAAAAAATAGCTTACTCATCTGAACCAAGATAATCAACCTAAAACAAGGAGTTTGCTCGAACTATTCCATACTGCGGGAGAGCTATCCTGATCCTTATTATAGCACAAATAGCCGGGTTCGACCGGTGTGATGCACAGCCTCACAGAACACTAGTATTAAGAAATTCTCTCGTTGCTAATCAGCGAGTGAGTGAGATTACCGGAGACCTGTCTGCTCGTTTGCCCATTCTTCCATAATAAATACCAACCCCCCCCCTCAACCCTTATTTCTCCAGCTCTTCTGTTGCAGGTGTTCATGGGCGGTGGTAGTAACTTACCATCAGATGACCCGTCTACTGGTTTCCCGCCATATAGCATTTTTTTTTCTGTAAATAATACTTATAGTACATTAAACTTCACAATTTAGCCTTTGGAAGCGCAGCATCCATCAGAATGGTAACTAAAGCTACAGGAAAGAGCTACTTTTATACTATATATTATAGCTATCGCGGTACCGTTCGTAATTAATTTTGCAATCTAGTATTTCTTTTCAGGATATTTTTATAACAAAGAGACATAAGGTGATAAATCGTCGTCATCAACAGCCTTTAAAACTAAACTCCTGGAAATAGGCATCTGCTAAAAAAGGAGGTTTTGGCCTACTATACCGCGCTGGTTGGCATAGAGCTTGTTTCAAGATTTCCTTCTCTTTCCAGTGCTGTTTTCTTGCGTGGTTTGCTCCCTTAGTCAGCTTTTAAGATACCCACGGGATGAATAAGGGTGGTGAGACTCCGTATCCTTAATCCGCTACCACACGGTCTAGGTGAGGGTCATAATTCGACTGCCACAAATCAATTCATTCTCAAATTTTTTATCTACATTATGATCTCTACCCTGCTCCTAAGGACGGTACCGTAATGTTGAACTACGACGTATGTAAATTAAAAGAAGACACAACAATAATTTTTCGAATGCCACAGGTAGTTTTCGAGTTTAGTGCGCATAAACAAAAGCTTTTCAGCTTTATTAGTTTATAGTGTAGATTATATTTGAAGAGACTGCTTGTTATATGCACGCTGCCAGGAATCATAAACTGATGTTTGTGGAGAGGTAGATGAGTCAGCGTATTATACGAACGTGTTAACGTTTTATGCTTTTTAAATATGAAGTACAGTCACACTGAGAAGTTGAATAAAAAAATAAAATAATGGCGATACATACGGCTGTCTGGTTACAAACTAAGCAGAGCCTGTACTATGCCAACCAGATGCGATACTTACTTATATATTTTTCATGGAAGAAGCGGACAAACGAGCAGTCGGCTTACCTGATGGAAAGCGACTACCGCCGCCCATGAACGCCTGCAACTCAGGAGTCACAAGCGCATTTCCGGCCTTTGAGGAAGGAGTACGCTCTTTTCTTGAAGATTTTCGTCCGGAAATACCGCAGACGATAAGTTATTCCACAGGTTGGTAGTGCGAGGCAAAAAGTGTCACAACGTCACAAATTTTCATCCCCATCACTTGGATAATTGACACTCCAATTATCCACGTGATGGGGATGAAATTTTTTCCGTGTGGTACGATGGCGGAAAGTTGCATTCGGTGTTAGACCGAACATTTCCTCGGAGCACTCTCCATGATATATACAATAGAGATGTAGAGCGAAAGTACATCTCTACGTAACGCCATAGGATCGAGCCGGTCGGAGATCTTTTGGATATATATTTCTAAATACATACACATGTGTGATTTTCTCTATGGGTGTATTTTTCTATGATATGCATGAATTAGAAATATATAACTATGTTTATCAGCGGTCTGGTCACCAAAGCAAAGGCCCTGCTTAGTTTACTATCAGACGGCCGTGTGTGAGATGTGTAAGGTTTAAATATATTATTATTTATGCTTTAAAAATATATTCATGTACGTTTACTAGGAGACTGGTTACCATGGCATAGGCCCTGTCTTGTTCTTGAGTTTGAGATCAAATGGCCGTGTATAAATTGTGTCAATTTGTTATTATTATTAAAAAAAAAATAGGTCTTACCTATGAAACTACTTTTTCCAAAATTTAGACAACTTTTTAGTAAGTAATAAATTCAATCCCCGAGAGGCAGTACAAAATGCCTTTGAAGAGTTTGTTGCCTCCCGTCCAGCTGATTTTTACAGGAAGGGCATCAATAAACTGCCAATGCGTTGGCAAAGATGCGTCGATTGCATGGGTGATTACTTCGAATAACAGAAATAGAAAAGTTTGAGAAAATAAGTACTTTCACTTATTGCATACAAAACGGCAATTTCATAGGTAAAGACCTAATATTTCAGAACAAGAGATATCACTTTTGTATTGAACTGTACTCCAGCATAAAAACATACGTCGAGTCTGACTGCATGAGTAATTCTTGACTCGCTTATTTTCTATTCATACGTTTATATTACCATGTTTTATTGCATCTGTCATAATTCTGTTAAAGTATGCAGTACCAGTTTATTTAAATTTGTCATCTATCACTGTTTTGAGAGAGTCCAAGTTCTATTATTGATTATTTCACAGACGTGTGTTTAATGAGCAAAATTTCGCAATTGAATTATAGTGTAAGCGTTCAAATCTACTTTGACAGTAGTTTAATAAAATGAAATAGTGAAATGTATTGGACTGATGTGAAGTTTTTTTTATGGCATAGGGGCAAACGGACACCTGATGGTAAGTGGTTATCGCAGCCCATGAATACCTGTAACTCAAGAGCTACAAATGTGACAAAGCCCTCGTCCACAGAATATGGGGGTTGGGAGGTTTGGACTCCGGTAATATTAAGCAACGGTAAAGCAACGAAAGAATTGCGTGCACTTTTTTGTGGTAAGAGGGGGCAAACGAGCAGACGGGTCACCTGATGGAAAGTGCCTACCGCCGCCTACAACAAAAAAATGCTGCGTAAATTACGTTGAGTACTACAAATGCAGCAGCCCAAATGAAATGAATGCCTACATTTTTTAAAGACGTAAGATAGGCCACACCTTACAAGAATAACAAGAGAACTACGAGTGGTACTGCAGAAATATATTGACTGCAAAATCAATGATCGTGAGTTCGACCTATACTTCACATTCTCATTTCAAATTTTTTTACTTATCACATGCGGTGGTCTGATTCCAAACTAATCAGAGTATGTGCTATGGTAACCAGTCTACTGATAAACATACTTATATATTTATAAATTCATACATATTAGAGATTTTTTAATTACACCCAGACACAAAATAAATGATGGTGCTCATTACACAATTATTTGTCCAGGGTGGGAGTCGAACCCATAACCTCTGGCCAAACAGTCAGGATTACTAACGACTAGACCAACAGGCCTGTCATTATAACATAACGGTTCTGAAAACTTCCTGAAAACTAACTATATTCAGGCTTTACTACTGTGTCCACTTATTTATCTTTACTAATCCTAACTACGTTTATATAGTATCTAATATTTATACAAGCAACACTGTTCAGTTTAAACTTCTCAGAAGACACAAAACACCCCCAAGAGGCCAATAAAACAGCAGCTAAATAAAACCAATTCATTTTCTGTTTAAGATTCATGAAATTTACATACATTATGACCGGACCATCAACTGTACAATTCTACGATAATACGCTCACGCAGTTAGTTTTATTTATGCCTTTAAAAGACTTCTATATCACCCCTTTAGAGATTATTAAGTCCACTTCCAAGTCGTAGCTATTAGCTACGAATGTGCTACGACATCGTAGAATACCGTAGACGGTCTACGCCACTGCCTACCAGTACTACGGTTGATATTCCTTTTATGTTTCATAAGTACGTGATTTATGATTTCGACTCAATTTCCTGGATGGAGAGGAAACATTTGTACTTCATTAGAAACCATCTCATATTTGGTATCTTATTGCAACAATCTCATGATGTAAATGAGTCCGTATATCGGCACGCGACTATTGAGATATTTAGATGTTCATATAATACAATTTATCTCACAAAATCAAAGTACTATTGTGTATTAGGCGTTCATGGGCGGCGGTAGTCGCTTTCCATCAGATGACGCTCGTTTGCCCATTTTGTTCATTTTTAAATAAAAAAAATAAAATTTTACACTTTCATAAAAAAAAACAACGTTAAAATGTATTCTTCTTTTTAAATTATGAAGTCAAACATTTTAAGATATAAGGGGTATATATGTGTTCTAAACCTGCAGAGATCACAAGGGCGGGCTAAATTAAAAGTATGCAATTTTAAAGGTGATCACATCAGCTCACCCACCATGGCAATGCAGTGGTAATGGTATCTCAAGAGTATGAAAACATTATGGAAATAAATATGTTGTTCTAAAAACCCATCAAGCATAGGATTGACAGACAGATATTTTATTTTATTTGGGAACTGTACAGAATTTAGCTGGAGACTAGGATTTCTGGTGAAATGAGACTTCTAAGTCCATCATCTTCTAAAATATGAGTCATCTCAGGTCTACTTTTGAAATACGAAGACTCATAAGTGATCCTTTGGTCTTGGATTAGGTCCCTGTAAATGTAATTACTCTTTAAATTATTGCATTCAACGACCGCCAGAGCGACGGAGTCAAGGAGTCGGCCAATGAGGGCTGATGCGATTACTGCCTGAGTCATAGCCAAAAAAGACTACGATGCGGCATTCCAATTGCAGCTGTGTGTAGTATTTTCTCCCGATTATCAGGGAGCGTTTGAAGGATGCAACTGGGGTGGAGGGGAGGGGAATCGGCTGCGGGGGTGCGGGGGAGCCGTGCGCCGCCCAGTAGTCGAGCCGAAACCGCCACGCGCGACACACGTTCAATGGCGATTTAGAAACAACCAAATGAGTACTCCGCGGAAGCTAACGCGAAGCCCGTTCAACACGAGACGACTGGCCAGTTACTGTTGACTGTGTTAATTTTTTTTTAGTTGAAATTAATTAATCGTCCAGAATAAGACTCTCTGGGACTGTACCGGTTTGTGGCTAATGTGAGTTCAGATCTTGAGGCGGCGTGTGTCTGCGGATCACGTGCCCTAGATTTGGGGTGACGTCGCCGGAACGCTCAAATGCAGCATTTTTTCGTTTATTTACATCTTAGCACTGCTTTAGTAGTTATACTTGTTTAGTGTAGTGCTTCTATAGTTGGTAGGCCTACACTTAGAAATTGTCCAAGAATTGTATATTTTCGCCAAATTTTGATGTCATTTATATTGGACGAATTCAATTTTCCAAACCATTTGAGATTTGCACTATGTGAGTATGTAGTTTTTCCTTATATTTGTATTTTGTAAGTTCTGATTATAGTCAATAAATCATCTAAGTTTCTTATTTTTTTCTCAATTTTTATTTCATTTTGTATAAACCCTAGCCACCAAACGAATACTAGTCTTTTTCACTGAGTGTTTTCGTTTAAATTTATGTGGTGAATCCTTTAGCATTGTAGAATGCACCTTATCAGACAGAATTAAAGTTTAAATTCGAACGAGTAGCTCCGAACAGTAACATTAAATCCGAATGTCTGTAAATTCACCATCTTATTTCTTCATTTTTAGTTAGCTCCTCCGCATTGCTTCGCTAGCGGTTATATATATTTTAATGTACGTAGTTTTTAGAATGTCTGGTTTGTGAAATCTGTAGTTAGATAACTTTAAGAGTTACGTGACTGATAGCACGTGGTTACCTGGCGGTAAATAATTGCTCCCACGTGGCTCCGTGCTCAATTAACTCGCCCCACGGGGTCGACACGCACACTTTCACTCGTGGAAATCCTATACAACTAACTGTTGTTATAAATACAACCATGAGTATTTATCATATTTCATTTTGTTTCTGTTCTACAATTTTGTATTTGATATTTTTTGCAACTACTAACTTTGACAGGTACGTAATTTTTTATATTATTATTGTTTTTGATTTTATTAATAGGTTTTAAGAAATACCTTTAAATGTTATTTTTTTTAAGATAACTGTTACTTTTTCAAATATTGGGCCTGCGGATGCATGCGTGCGCGAATATCAGTAAATTTGTTAGTTATAGGAAATCGCAGTAGAGTTACTATAAATTCTATCTATATATTTTCTATTCGGATCATTTGCTAGAACACATTAGATACGTGGTGTGTGTGCGTCTGTGCGTGAGGGTGTTTGTGTCTGGCAGGGTGAGATTGCGGGGTGGTGCGAGGACTAAGGGGGGTGCGGTAGGGTGTCTCGGCGACGCGGGGGGAGGGCTGCGGCCCGGCACATGGGCGATCGATGCGGGCCGCGTTGCCCGCGTATCATTTGCGTGCGACAGCCCGTCGTTACCCCTCGCCCCGGATGCCTTCGATGACCTACAGATTCCTGCCTACACCCTCAGACGAGACTGCCCGTCTGTTGATAGTTATGCCACTATAATATGTATTATATTACATAGTAGGTGGCACGTGAAAGTCACATGGGGGATATTGTACTATCATAAGAGGTTATGTTCTGTTTGACATTTTACATGACCAATAACATGTTATTTATTTAATTGCTATTTATCATTACTAGATATATTAGATTTTGATAATGGTAACATTTTGTGTTTGGAATTTAATTGACTTGGAAACGGCAATGTATTGATTGAACATGTCCAGTCATCTCCTGCTAGGCTAGAATAGGAAAGCCTTCACGTCAATTTCGATATTTATGTCTTAAGAATATTATGTTCATTTTAGCTGGCTCTTAATCCCTTAGATTTCGTATTTTTAAATCACTCTCGTTTAATTTGGTTATTGAATTTATCTTAAATCTTTCTACAACTTATCAATATCTATCTTAACTATATATTTTAGTTATAGAACCTTGGGTTTAAAAAAAAATCAATAAAAATACAATTCTAACTGATTTATCGGTCGTTCATTTCAATTTCACTGCTTTTTATTCAGAAATTTGCATTTAAATTTCTCTACTGATATTCATAACTTGTTATTCTAAGGCTTGGCTCTCTATCTATCATTTCCCTCGAGGCTTGCCAAGTTCGATCAATGTCTTTTGGGATCAGATATTTTATCTGGAAAATATATATTTTTCAACATTTTAAACTTACTTTATCATTACGATGTTAAATTCTAGAAATACTTGTCCCAGTTATTATAAATGGACTCTTATTTTAGCGTGTTATAGGAAAATCTAAGTAATTACGCGTCTAAAGAGGAAAGCAGCAACTTGTCGCGTCAGTGTTACATATGCAAATTGCATGTTTTAACAAGTATTTTCCAATACACCGTTGTTAGCGCTGCATTAATAACTAGCATTTATGAATAACTAATATTTGTCAGGAGTTTCCTTTGAGTTAGAAGTTACGTATATTGTAAGTTACTTTCTGTAATTTATCGAGGGTGTTATGGATGTATGTAATCTTTTCAGAGGGAGAGGAGGGGATTTAAGGCATGTGCAAAATTGCATGATGAGCAGATTCGTATTTAGCGAGTGAAAGCATAAAACATACGTAAATAAACAAAGTTAGTTAGGAAGTGTCTTTCGAACCCTTTCTCTTATCTCGTGAACTTAGTGGATCCACAGTTATTGTGTTTTTATCACCGTCTACTATCCTAGCTGCAGAGAGACTAAATTTTATTAAAAATTTGCAATAAAAGCGTAATAGCGAACGGGTGTGAACTTAATACATAAAAATTCGTAATTTGAACAAAAAGAACGTTGTAGAAAGTTATGAGTAATATCTTAATATGGAATGTTTCTGCAATACATTAAGTCTAATAAGGTTTTAAAACCGACTTTGCACAATATATATCTTTGGGTTTCAGTAGATTTTTTAACACCGAACCACTATATCAATACACTATTTTATAAAATACGTTTATTGATTTATACTGTAGTAAATACTAGCTGTGCTCTCGGCTTATCTGGCGTATACTTGTACCTAATACTGATATTTTATTTTATAAATAATTAAAGTTTAACTACCCTTTAAAAGAGAACTGAATTAATAATTAACTTTAAAAAATATCTTCGTCTTTACGCTCACAATGATGAATTGTAAAAAAACTGAATTTTTCATTTCTCAATTTGTCGTATTTAATCACCATTATAATGTTAGATCGAAATTGTATTTTTTCTTTAGATTTCGAACATCATCATCATCATCATCAACAGCCTTTAATAGTCCACTGTTGGACATAAGGCTCTCCTTAGAAAGATTTCGAACGTTCGATAATAATTATAAATGTTACGTCCACCCCTACTAAATCATTCATTCATTCAAAAAAGTTCTTGAATGAAGAATTTCTTATGTGACAAATATAAAAACAGGTATAACCGACTCGAAAAACTCCTCTTTTTTGAACTCGGTTAAAAAGTAGAAGTGCAATCAACCTTTTGAGTTCATTATTAAACTATCGGTACTGATTCCAATCCGTTGAACTTGTCGTGAAAAATTATGTTTTTGATTTTAAATAATAAATATACTTAAATTGCCCCTCTATTTATATTAAAACTTAAAATCCTGTAGAAATTGTATGGTGTTAATTAAATCAATAAAAAAGTATATAGGCATATGGGCCCTAATTAGAGTTTAATGGTAGAGAGAGTTAAAGAGTTTGTAGAGTGAGTTTTTTTAAGAGTTCCACTATGTACCCACTGACTCTATGTACCTACTGACTCCATTACATCAACTCTAAACGTTAAATAAATCTTGTTATCAAACTCATATATTTTCTTATTCAATATGATGATGAGACTTGGTGAACAGGCCTACTCAAAACGATTGTCCTTTCTCAAAAAGGCCAACCCAGACCCTATACTGCACTCACATAGTTCAGACTTGAAAAAAAAAGAGTGAGTCTTAGAATTGCTGCGTCTTAGCTGTAAAGTCCGACTTGTAAAAATATCTGAAAAGATTTTTTTGCAGAAATAAATATTATTTATGAAATATATTTTTGTATCCTCAAATATCATACAAAAACTATTATTTAAAAAAAAACAAGATACGGTGGTGAGCATTGCCTCAGTAGTGTACAGTTTACTCTTTGACAGGTGAAAAATTGAGCGATACTGTGATCCACCTCAAGCCATGTCCTCGACAACGTTTCGCGAATAGATGGAAAGAACTGGTAAAGGTGGCGACCCTTAGGTGATTGTTAAGCGTTGTTGCCATTCGTGTTTGAGGTCATTGTAGACTTCGGACAGCTGTTGAAGCAATCTGACATTATCAAAAAGTTTAATATTAGAATTTTAGATAAGTCTAAGAAGGGCTAAAAAGGCTCGGGAACATTGCCTGCATTATTTTAAAGGCAGATATCTCCGTAAGCATGGTCCTGCTTAGACTCATATGCTATGATGATATCACGGTCGCATAGAAATAATGATGTTTTTCTTTTATTACTTTTCACCAAGTAAGTGAACTCTTACTCGCCTTTACCTTAATCACCCTTTACTCATTTATATTTTTCATGCACTTCTGCCTCTCGAATTGGAGGGGGGGGGGGGGGTGACCCGTTCCATAAAAAAACAATAACGTGTCTGTTATGTTCCTAAAAAAATATCGTAACTTAACGCGTTAATTAATTTATATTCTAATAGCAAATCTACGACACGACCATCCTACTTCCCGTTTGTGCCCCTGTCACTCCATTCACTCTATTCAAAGGGGTTTTCA